TGTCTGTCTGTCAGACCTGTCTGTCTGTCTGTCTGTCAGACCTCTCTGTCTGTCTGTCTGTCTGTCAGACCTGTCTGTCTGTCTATCTACTTACCAAACTTTTCTATTTTTTTTTCTATCTCTTGAAATAGTTTGATTTAAAATAATGAACTGTAGATTAGATCTATTAACTTAAAAGTGAACTAACTTGCTTTTTTGCTGTATTTTAAAGTATATAAATACTGTACAAGGATGATTGGATTAACATTAAATTCAATGTAACAATTAAATAAAAAGCAATCTCGGAACATGCAAGAGCACATAATGAAATGAGAATATATATATATATATACATGATGTCCTGGAATACTAATTGTCACTTAATTTGGCCAATATATTACCTTTGCTACATGTCTAAGTAAAATAAAAGACTATTAGTATTTTTAAATTATATATATTGTTTTGTAATATATTCACGATACCAAATATGAATTTTAATAGCATCACTCTGGTGAATGCTCACCGCATAAAAGCACATATTTTTCTATTGAATTATGAGATGTCCTTGAATGTTCATTGAAAAAAGAAAAGATTATAAGCATAATGTCTTTATTCAACCTCAAATACTATGTAACTATGATTGCATACAGATATTAATCAATTGTTTTAAATTAAAAAAAAGTGTTCTCAAGAAATATTTTTTTTTATTTTATTTGCCTGCTAATCTAAAAGAGCTGTAAGATATCCAAAGGCACCTACTACTGTGGTCTTGGGATGGACTGAACAGAAGGGTCCTTCTACCATGTCTTGAGATTTACTAAATGGAAGGCTCCTACAAGTGTGGACTTGGGACGGTGTAAATAGAAGGATCCTACTTATATGGTCTTGGGATGGACTGAAAAGGAAGCTCCTTCTACTGTGATCTTGGGATAGACTAAAAAGAAGGATCCTACTGCTCTGGCCTTGGCATGGACTAAATGGAAGGCTCCTACCACTGAAGTCTTGGCATGGACTAAATGGAAGGCTCCTACTACTGATGTCTTGGCATGGACTAAATGGATGGCTCCTACCACTGAAGTCTTGGCATGGACTAAATGGAAGGCTCCTACTACTGAAGTCTTGGCATCGACCAATTGAAAGGCTCCTACTTCTGTGGTCTCATTATAGACTAAATAGAAGGCTCCCATTACTGTGGTCCTGGGATAGACTTATCAAAAGCTTACTACTGCTGTGGTCTAAGGATGGACTAAATAGAAGGCACCTAATATTGTGGACTTGGGATAGCCTGAAAAGAAGGCTGTGACTCTTGCAATGGACTGAATAGAAGGCTTCTACTACTGTGGTTTTGGAATGGACTACACAGAAAGCTCCTATTAATATGGCATTGAGGTGGACTAAATAGAAGCCTCTTACTACTGTGGTCCTGGGATAGATAGATGGAATAGAAGTTTGCCTTTAGTAGTCTTGAGGAGGACTAAATAAGAAGATTGTTTTTCAGCTACAAAGTTTAATGAAATGGGAGAATTTAGTTAAATTCTCTTTCTTGAAGCACTGAAAGCATTTGGCTTCTCTTGATGGTGTGCCCATACAGTATATAGGGGGTGGTAAAGTAGGAGATAGTGGTACCCAACAATCTTGGTTTCTGCTGAGTGATGAAAGAAGCAAACGTTTCCTTTGCTGACTAGATGAAATGGGGTTGATTTACTAAATGCTCCTTCGATCAACTGATCCAGGGATGCCAGCTGTAAGGGTTTTAAAAGCAGCACCCTCTGTGCAAATTTCGTCTGGTTCATCAAGAACCGGCCAAAATTCTCAAAGTGTATGGCCAGCTTTAACGAGGTGAAGTTCGGCTGACTTCCATTATCCAATTATGTACAAGCAAAATACTTTTTATTTTCCTTGCACGTAATTGGGTATTCTTTGCAAATGAATTTTCACCACATTCCCTAAGATGAAGGAACATTCCCTTACAAAGTGAACATTTAAAAAAATAATTCTGCCACTCAATACTTTTCTTTCTTAAAAAATAAAAATAATAAATTCCATTACTCCCCTTTGGTATCTTGTGATTGTCAGTTTTCTTTCAGAACTTTTATCAATCCGTAAAACAATTGGTTGACAACTTTAGGCAACCGTAAGGTCAACCCAGCCGGCAATGCCGAACTGTAATGACACGCATAAGTAATCCAAAATGATAGATGTGTGACCATGAATAACAGGTTCTATCTGAAGGAGCAAAACTATCACTTATAGACCTTGTGTCTCTCAATTGAACTTAACCTCAGAATGAAATATGGCTTTCTCCATCTGCCTCTAGAGTAATAAAAAAAGATTGAGTTGTAGAAAAAAAAGAAAGAAAAGTGGATAAAATAAGGATAAAATAACAAATAATACATTAAACACAATTTAATAAATAACTATGTCGTCTAGTTCAAATTTTATTCTTGAGTTTTTGTGAAAAAACCAATTGAATAAAATTATTCCATTTAATTCCAGCCAGTCCTATCTTGTTTATTATAAAAAGGCCATTGATGTTATATGTATTGATTTTTGTTCCACAATATTTCTTAGTTCAACTGTCTTAGAAAATCAAGCAAAAATTATTATAATATTTTACAATGAAATATAAATTACATATTGATTTAACCCAGTTGTTGAGACAGTGTACAACAGAAGTGTGAATCTGTAGTCCCTGGTTTATTCCTTTTGGGAATACTTCACGAAAGATCGACACCATTAAATTTTCGCTTGCTGTGCTACTTCTTGAATTTGATTTGATTGGAATATTCTTCACAGTTCCCTCTTGAAATACTGCATGTCTTCAGATTTTTGTGCTCTCACAGACATACAGCTCTTACCAATGTGGAACCTCAGAATATTGCACCAAATCAAAACTGCCAAGAATGTCACGCAAGATGTAATTATTCCTGAATTCTTATATTTCATTTACATGGTTCATGAACTGTAAAATATCTTATTTTGTACAAAAATTATTTTTCAGCAGCTAATTAGAGGTTTTATTTTAGGAAAAATGATCTGCATACACACTATAAACTCCGCAATGTTCTAGAAGTTTAATAAGAGTGTTTTTTAGTATTTTTTTTTTTCTTATACCATATCTCATATGACTTTCATTTTACATTCTCTACCCTCTTTCTAGTAAAAAAAAAATAAAAAAAATAAAAACAATGAAATATTAATTACAAAGAGAAGATCAGGAACTGAGCTATCAGTGGTATGTGATCGCTCAGTTCTCGATCTACAGAGCAGACGTGTGACAGCTGCAGTATCATACGTTGGCTCTAACTATGGGGATGAGTGCATTTCACTCTCCCCATATTTTTCCTTTAAACACTATTAGTGCCCTGAAATATATCAGAGACGTGTCATGCATTTATTTTGCTTGGAATATTAAAGGTTTTTTTTACTTTTAGGGTTAAGCAGCAGGATCTAGACATTTTAGGCTGTCTAACCATCTTGTCTTGAATTGTATTATACCTGTATTGTTTCTCTTTATATTGTAAAGTGGTGCATAAGCTGCTGGCGCTTTATAACTGCTGTATAATAGTAATAATAATGAATTATGGTTCAAACATTGTGATATCATATACCAGATTGCTACTGCTAAGCAGCTTGTGGGTAATATGGAGAAAACTGGTCACATTTTTCTCCATGGTAATGGCAAATATTATTCACAACATTCTATATTAGCTCATAAATAGGTTTGTATGTCTGTAACATTATATTTAATCTAAAAAATATTTTACATTTTGTACAATTGATTTAAAAAATACAGTACACACAAGCTATTGGAGTGTGTGTGTATTTGTGTTTCCTTCTAGAAAAATGCGTGACCAATGTGTGCACGGTGGTCCCTACAATAGAGATTTTTTTTAAATTATGTTTGGTAATTAGTATTACATAGTTACATAGTATTTGGGGTTGAATAAAGACAAACGTCCATCAAGTCCAACCCATATAGGTCCACGCATCATCTCATTCTTAGGGATATTGGTATCCCTGGATATTACAGTCCCTCAAGAAATTGTCCAAACGTTTCTTGAACAAATCTACACTTTTGGCTGAAATCACCACCGATGGCAGTGAGTTCCAGACCTTAACCGCTCTTACTGTAAAGAACCCTCTTCGCCCATTGTGCTGGAATTTTTTCTCCACTAACTTTAGGTGGTGGCCTCTAGTCTTTGTAATGGAGTTAATCTCAAACAGTTTTTCAATATATTTTTTTTAATATTCAGTAATTATTATTAACATGCCAGTTGATTTGTTTTATATATTTTTTTTTATAACTGTGTCATATTATAATAGTATTAAAACTAGGGATGCACCGATACCAGTTTTTCGGTATTGAGTACAAGTACAGACATTTTTTCTTCTGTACTTGCCGATACTGAATACCGGTACTGGAAGTCCCATTAAGGAAGCCAGGCGGCGTGTAATGACTCGCCACCTGGATTCCCGATTAGCAGGCAAGCTGTCTCCATGCTCCCTCGTCACCAAGTGACAAGGGAGCATGGAGCCAGCTACCCGGCCAATCAAGAAAACCAGGCAGCATGTAATGACTCGCTGCCCAGCTTCCTGATACCGGAAATTCGGTTATCGGACTAGCCATCGGAGCATTTGGGTGAGTATGAGTACTCGTCCAAATACTGCAACAGCACTATAATAATCCAACATGAGCTTTCCTGGAAAGTACAGAACATTAATGCTTAATCAACTTAATTATGAAAGATTACGCTGAACTAGCTCAACTCTATACACTTATACAGAGCTGGCTACGTTTCGAAACACTTACCTGTTCATTTTGTGCAATTATAATCCCTTGAAAAATATATAGCATTCGAACAAAAACAGAAAGACAGCAATCAGGCAAGGAAACTCTTTCAACCTACCGGTTTGCGATCGGGTTGTTGCACTTTCATAAAGAGGAACACCTTCGCCAGCGTTATTAAAAGCTTTCAGAGAAATTACATAATGGGAGCTTGGTTCTGCGGGAACAACAAAAACATAATAATAGTAAACATTACATCTTAATGGCTGTTGCTTGATATATTAACAACAATATTAAACTAGAACATCTAAGTGCTGATAATTTTAAAATTATATGTATAATCCTTTGTTATTTAAAACACGGCTCTGATAAAAGGAAATGAATAAGCACATAAGCTCCTGATTGCTATTCAGATACATACAGTTCTGTTTTTAGAATAATTATTTAGAAAACAAATACTGTTTGATAAAGCTTTGCACCTTCTACAGAATTAGAAGGCCATCCAGGGCACCATCTACTGATACATTGGAGAATAAAAAAGAATTAGCACACATTGGAGATGATTCCTATGATGAGCTGACTGGTTGTAGTCAGGGGCAAGTACAATTTTGTTGTCATTTTACTTTCTCCAGGTGCCATGCACCAGCCCATATCTGTGTTGTGGGCACATAGCTAGACTTAGTCTAAAGTTATCTAATCATATAAAACAGAGTTGCACATGAACATAAAAGGTTCATGAGTAAGTCAAGTTTGTGTGTGTATACATATACATATGCTCCAGTTCAAGGAAGGAGCATGCTGATATGATAGGAGAGGGTAGAGTGACAAAGAGATGAGCTCATCAGTCTGCTGCTTCTCTTTTCACAGTCCAGTCACAGGTTAGGGGAAGGCAGGGGCGCCCTGAGGCTGGGTGACACGCATGCACGGTCATCTTATTGACGCCTGCCGGCGGCCATCTTCGTGGTGGGCGCAGGCAGAGAGAGGAGGGGACCTTCACCCGCCGGGATGAGGTATACCGCCGGGTCCCCTCTTCTCTCCTGACACCGTCGGGCTCTCGGTCCATGACTGATGACTGATAGTCATTTTGGCATCACCCCTCCAATGGTGGCACCGGGGTGCGGGCCGCACCCCCCGCACTCCCCTTCTGACGCCACAAGGGGAAGGACAAGATCGGTAAGTATTACAAACTGCAGCATAGAAATATCAGGTCTAAGGCCCTGCCAGACAGTGCTGTGCTGTGTGACAGAGTTGTGTTAATCTTAGATCTGGGTGGACAGAAATGTAAATCCTTTGGCAAGTTAAACAGATCGCATATACATATTCATTTCAGCAGTTTGCCTGGAGCTCAGCTTTAAGGTTGTAAGTACCCTAACTTTGTTTTATTCCTTGAGAGTCTTATCTCACCATTAACTGTCTTGCACAGTTGCTCTCAAATACCAGTATGACTCATAATACCTGAATCACAGGGAGACGATTGACTTTGCCGAGGTCACAGTCATGTGCTTTGGAGTTGTGCTTTTCTGGTTCATAACCCAATGATAATGACCCTTATCCTCCCTCAGTTATGCTTTGTTGCAGAGCACCATGATTACTATTAATCCCTCTAGTGCTCAGCAAACCCATAATGCATTGCAAATGACGCTCCTTCCAGATATGAAGGGGTTTAATTGCCTAGACTTTCCTGGGAGATTACTGAATAATTGATTAGCTCATTGTGAATATCGTTAGGACCGCAGCCAAATGAATTAATAAACAATAAGGACTTGATGTGAAGTGTTGCTAGATTCTCGTTGGATATAAAATTCGTATTCATGATGACAGGACAATTTAAGGTATTTGTTTAGTTGTAATATAATTGTCCTTTGGAAATTACGTTTAGAAAAATGCAATATTTTTAAGTGGAATAATGAACTGATGATGCTTTAGAGCAGCAATCAATGCAGACATTACTCATGCCAAACAGCTCATGTTCTTATAGGTGAGGTTCTCAGTTTATAAGAGGATAACGTAGCAATAAAAATACTGCAATATATGGAACATTAAGAGTTTAAAAAGCACCTTTCACTTTAGAAAGATCTTATTTATCAATCAGTTTGATACAAGTCATACAATTTACCAGTACGCCATTTACCAAAAATAACTGAGCAAAATCTGGGGTGAGGAGCATCCATCTTAGGACATCCTCTCTACATGACATTTCTCCCTCTTTGATCCAGTCCAGGCACCGCTGGAGTGAGCAGTAGCTTACAATTTGTATCAGGGAGAAACTGTCTTTGTCAGGAAGGTTAAGGGCATTAAAAGGAAGACTGATGTACAACAAAGGTTTTCTAAAAACATGCAATGATACTTTTATAAGTTAAAAAAACAAGTACAATGTCCACCTTCCTGACACTTTTTTATCTGAACCCTTAGATTCACAGCAAGGCTTCCAAAGCAGCAGTGCATAGAGGGTGAGGTTAAAGGTTAGGTCTAAGGCCCCATTCACACGGAGCGATTTATCGCACGGTAATCCGCGCGATATCGCGGATATTTACCACGTGATATCGCTCTCCAATGCATGGCAATGGGGCTCTGTTCGTCGTTGTCGCGGGTCGTGTGTCGCTACAACAGGACCCTTTTTGGAGCAGATTTCGGCGCAATTCAACTTTGCTCAATGCAACCATTTGCGCAAAACGCGCGACAAACACGCGATTTGCGATACGTTCATTGTGAATGGGGCCTTAGGGTAAGGTTCAGTTGTTAGAGTTATTTTTTGGAGTAAGGTTTAGGGTTCAGTGGTAAGGCTGAAGGGGAGATTTAAGATTAGGTGTTAGGGTGAAGTCAAGGTTTAGGTGCTTGGGTGAGGTTTAATGTTGGGGGTTATGATCTGGGTTAAGGGTTCAGTGGTAATTCTTAGGTGCAGGTTACAGGTTAATTTTAGAGATTTGGTTTGGGTTTTAGAGCTCTGGGGGGTGAGGGAAGTTTTTCATTTGTAGGACCAACCTAAGGATTGGTTAAAGTGACTCTACACTTAGGAGTTAGATCTTAAAAGTACATTTAGGTACCTTAACTATTAACAAAAATGAATTTTATTTGTGTATCACTCAGCTGTAGATCCTCAATCATCTCTGAATTGGTGCTGACACTGTCCTTCCTTCTGGGGGGTGGCTACTTTTGTTCCCCATGGTCCCTGTATATGTTGTAAAGTAGTCACCGCTCCAGGCTCACTCCCATGATAGACTATAATCTCATGCTAATTTGTATTGAGATTGTAGCCTATGAAGGGAGTAAACTTGGAGTGGTGGCTACTTTACAACACAGGGACCATGGGGAACAAAAGTAGCCACCCTCCAGAAAAAAGGACAGTGTAAGCACCAATTCAGAGATAATTTGAGGATCTACAGCTGAAGGCAGCCGAGTGAATATCCAAGCCAAAGTGAACTGAGCCGAATGGTGATTCAACATCTGCATCAGCTGATCTGAACCTCCGGCAGTGGTTCCCATATGGGCTGAATGACAGTTAGTGAATAGCAGAATGCGGCTAGCACCCCCTCCCCCCGCCCTCGGTACTGGGAGAATGCTTTTCCAGAGTCTCCACTGGCAAGCACCAGCAGTAATTAGTTCTCATCAATGAAAGCTAATTTATGTATGTTCCATCTACAAAGTAAGAGATCTACTTCAGGTGATGACTGTTTAAAGTAGGAAAACCCTTAAAGTTCCAAGCCTGGGTAGCTCTTATGACATCACTGGCAATTTGGAAGCATTTCAAAATGCAAAATAAAGCCTAATAAAGGAAAAGTTTTATCACCCTGAGTTGCATTTAATTTTAATTTTGTATAAAATAATCTCTTTACGGTATTTTCAGTTTTATTGAATCTCAGTTATTTAAACTTCTTCCTCCAGCATAACCTTCCATTTCATTATGTCCTTGTCTGTATGAAAAACAAACACAGAATTCAATTTTTTCCCTTGCTATCTCAAATGAGAAGTTGAAATGGAAACACGGTCTTACATTTCTTTAATTAAGCAAAATAATCATTCTAAAACTGATAGTAAGGGCATAACGTCAGGCCAGTTGCACCTTCCTCGCAGACGGCTGCTAAATAATTTCAGAATGCTGAATATCTTTATTTGCCCTTGATAAGAGCGATGCCGCAGTGGACATTTTAATTTATCATTAGCAGAAGATTGGGATATTTTATATCTTTTCTGAAAATGAAGTATACGGTAGATAATTTAAGCCATGGAAATGCTAATGGATTAGTTCATTACTACCTCATTAACACGGATACTTTTGTAAATGTGAGAAATTTTGATATTCCCAGGGACCAGCTTGGTGGTTTGATGGTAACACCAAACAGGCAGTATCTGCACATGGGGGGTTGATTTACTAAAGGCAAACAGGCCGTTCACTGCTGCAAGGGAATTGGCGTTATAATGTGAAGCTCTTGTGACTTCCTTCACCCAATCATGTGCAAGCAAATCTTTCCAAAGCAGTCCACATGGCGAAAAATGATGCAAATTTTGGTAAAACTTATGCACAGGCAAAATTGGTAATTTTGCAATGAATCACTCTGTATATCCCTGAAATGCCAGATGATATTTTTGTTGACTCAGTGCCAGAGGTTCTTACCCAAGTTTGTACTCAATACCTCTGCTACATTTCTCTTGGTCATGTCGGTAAATGCGGACTGTTTTATTTATTTATTTATTTTGCTTTATGCGTTATGCTGCCTATCTGGAGCTGCCATCCAACAACAAAGCTGGTCCCTGTAAATCAACTGTGGGGTTAATTTACTAAAGGCAAACAGACTGTTCACTCTTCAAGGGAATTTTCATTTTGTAAAGGAATTTTCCCTTAGCTTACTGAATGAGATGAAGCTGTGTTGACTTTAATCATCCAATCATGTGCAAGCAAAGATACAATTTTTTAAAAAAAATTCTTCCTTGCACATGATTGGGTATTCATTGCAAACTAAAATTTCCCCAAAATCACCAACTTTCCCTAAAAAGTGCAAAATCCTTTGCAAAGTGAACAGCTTATTTGCCGTCAGTAAATTGATTTACGAAAGGCAACTAGGCAACAAAGGAATTTGTACTTTGCAAGGGAATTTTCCCTTGCAAATTGAATGTGGTAAAAATTCACTTTGCAAAGAATACCCAACCACGTGGCCATGATTGGGTGATGAACGTCAGTCAGTGAAATAGTGATATTTTACTAAAACATCCAAATCTCTC